TTGGGATAAGTCATTTATGACTTCTCTGACTTTCAGTTTTTTTATCTGTTAAAATATGGTTCATAACAGCATCTATTTTTATCAGGTCAGCATGGTACTAAATGGGTTTTTATTTGTTAAGCATTTAGAATAGCTCCTGGCACGTAGAGCATGCAATAGAAGTATGTGTTTAATAAAGTAGAGCTTTCCTTTAAAGCAAAAAAAAAAAAAAAAAGGCTGATTTTTTATGTAGGTTTCCCGTAATTTTCCTGATATCTGCAGAGCATAAGCAGACCAGAAAAAGTTTTTGATACATCTCATACTTCTTCAACTCCTTTCCTCTCTAGTCTAATTTTTGCAGTTAAGCTGTTATTTACATGCCTGCCAAGGACTACGAGAGAAAGATCATCTCTGTATTATAAATCTAAAATCTCTATTACAAGGGTGAAAAGCAGGGAACAGTTACTGGAAGATGGCTAAAAGCATCTAACATCAGCTATTGCTTTGAAACTTCTTAAGCCTTATCACAGGCTTATCAAGAAATTGCCCTACTTGGAGACACATTAACCCTAGGTGTTCAAGAGACTGCTTTCTGTCTATCAGAACACTTTCAGAGGAACTATTACAGGAAAGACCTGAAATGAGCTTCTGGGACCTTGTAAATTTAGGTCAGAGGGCAAGACCGTCAGGATCCTGAGGACTAAAGGATAAACTTTGAAGGGATGGGAAACTTGGCTTCCCTGAAAATCAAGAAGTCACATCAGAATCAAAGTGGTTGCCGGTAGAAGTACTGAATTTTATTAGATTGCATGTGAAATTTGGCCAGCCATATATCTGCTATAAGGGTAACTATCTCAAAGGGTATACGGTTATTGAAGGTAATAAAGATTTTTATGGGAGAACTGTGTCAATTGTTATTTGTTTTTAATCTCTTTTTCATATTGTGCTAACTGCAATGTATTTTATTACATTTTCAAAGTATTAAAACTATACCTAGAAACTCACTGCTTGCTTAAAGTCTTCTTGAATAATTAAAAACTCTCATTTAAAAAAATTATGCCATGAAGTATTTTTTGTAATATTTAAAAAAATAATAATTACTTGTTTATTTTCGGTGAGATAAACCTGACATTGTGCCAAGTATCCTGGAATCCTCTCTACTACAATCTTTGTAACTCTGAAGAATATGACTGATCTCTTATTTAAATACACATAAAAAAGAGACGTCTTTCCATGGTGATAAGCTTTTAAGAAAACATAACTATTTTTGGTAAATCTCTACATAAATTGGACTAATTTAACAAAAAATTATGAGCCTGCCAGTGAGAATAAACAATGTTAATATTTGTCAGTTTGTTTAAAATCTTATTTTTTAGAGAAAAAAAAAAA